AGAGAAATGTTTAGATTAAAAGATATCACGATTTTCCGACGCCAGGACGTGATATCTTTCAAAATCGATAAAAAGCGAAATTACTCTGAAATGGTTGAGAATCGGACCATGGACAATATGAACTTTTTTGTTCATTTTAGGGTGAAGAATCTACTGGAGAAGTTTGTAGCACGAGTAGCAATTCACCCTGTATATATAATATATATATATAATCTCCTTTAATACAATCGGGCAAAGTATTTTTATTTTTTTATCCTAGGTACAGACGGAATGGGCTGGTATATAATGAACCTTGAAATACATGTTCAACAAGGTAAAAAATCTTATTAAAAACGCAGTAAGTAAATTATTAAAAATGATTTTCTGCTGGGGCTCATTGGCAAGAACGTTGATCCGTGGTTCGTTGCCTTCCATTGTTTGCCTGCAAATAAATGTCCATTCAGATGTACAAAGTTATACAAAAAACAGTAAAATAAGTAAAAGTAAGAGAGAATTGAGTAAATTAAACATGGAAAAGCTCAAATGTTGCCAATTTTGAAAACGAACCAAATAATGTAAACCTTTGTAAAACTTATACGTTTGCTTTTGATAGATCAATTATTTTAATTGCATGAAATCAAGACATCGTATGACATAGATATGGAAACATCAATGAAGCTTTCGTCAGACACAAAAAATTGTTTGTGACTTTTTCAATGGAAAATAAGCTTAATCAAAAAATTTTAAGTCCATATGGATGAGTTAATTGATATGGTGGTCGGTTTTTAAATTAGTCAATTAAACAGTACCAGAGTGCATCGTCGGAATGCGGAACTGGATTTTTCGGGGGAGTTAATTGAAATTACACAGACATCATTTGAAACGTCGGGGAGGTGGAATCCTGCCAGGATTTCCCTTCGTCCCGATGGTCTCCCGGGTGATACAGAGCTTTCTCGGCCGGTGAGCCTGGAGTCACATCCTATATTTAGATTATGACCCTAAGGACCGTTTTAGAAATCGAAGCCCCCAATTTCGCAGTCTTTACAACATCCGACTAGCATTAAATAAAGACAACGGAAAAGCTAAGGTTTTTGTTTTATATATCATGTGTATAATTATAAATATAGTTTTCATCTTTCTTAAGTGAGTGCGCGCGAGAGTGTAAGTGAATGGTTATATATATAATAATAATGATCTCGTACATAAACAAACATCGATATAATATTGAGTACGATTGAAAACACAGTGTTAATTAGGACAAACTGTATAGATTATATAGAAATAGTCACACATAAATAGGTGCATAAAGTGGTAGGAGAGAGAGAGAGAGAGAGAGAGAGAGAGAGAGAGAGAGAGTGAGTGAGAGAGAGAGAGAGATGGAGGGGGTAAGGGAAAGGGAAAAGAAGATGGAGAGAGATAGAGAGAGAGAGAGAGAGAGAGAGAGAGAGAGACAAGAAAGTAATAACTATAAAAGCATAAATATCGGGTGAAAGTGAGAAAAAGAAGATGAGAACTTTAATTTTTTTAATTGTTAAGCGTGAGTGAGAGTGAAGGGTTCTATTTAAAAAGAGAATGAAAAATTGGATAAAAATAAAATTAAGCATTTGGGAGACAAATGGGCATATACATAAAAAATAACAGAGGGAGGGATGGTGGGAGGGATGGTTGGAGGGCGGAAGGGAGTGTGGCTTTGAGGTGGCGGGGAGGGGAAAGGGAAAGGAGATGGAGGGAGAGAGAGAGAGAGAGAGAGCGAAAGGGAGGGGGAGAGGGAAAGCAAAAAGGAAAGGGAAGTGGGGAGAGAGAGAGAGTGAGAGGGAGAGAGAGGGAGTGAGAGGGATGGAGGGGGTAAGGGAAAGGGAAACGGAGATGGAGAGAGAGAGTGAGAGAAAGAGAGAGAGAGAGATAAGAAAGTAATAACTATAAAAGCATAAATATCGGGTGAAAGCGAGAAAAAGAAGATGAGAACTTTAATTTTTTTAATTGTTAAGCGTGAGTGAGAGTGAAGGGTTCTATTTAAAAAGTGAATGAAAAATTGGATAAAAATTAAATTGAACATTTGGGAGACAAAAAGGAAAGGGAAGGGGAAGGGTGAGAGGGGGGAAAGCGAAAAGGAAATGGAAGGGGAAAGAGAGAGAGAGAGAGAGAGAGAGAGAGAGAGAGAGAGAGAGAGAGAGATATGGAGGTGAAAGAGAGAAGAGAGTGATGTATAAGAGTGAGTGAGAAAGGGAGGAAAGGAGGGAGAGAGAGAAAGAGAGTGAGAGGAAGGAAAAGAGTAAGTAATAAGCAGCTAGATAAACATAATATCGGGTGAGAGCAAGGAAAAGGAGCAAAAGAGGATGTGAAATTTTTTTTAATTTAAACATTTTAGAAAATTTAAGTTTTTGTTAATTGTTAAGAGAAAGAGAGAGAGAGAGAGAGAGAGAGAGAGAGAGAGAGAGAGAAAGAGAGAGAGAATACAAGGTTTCATAAAAACACTCCAATTTAACTGTTCATATATTTATATATGTCGTATCACATTTATCGTGATCTCACTCCAGAAAAAGAAAATATATTTCGCTGTTCTGTAATCGATTTTGTCTTTCTTTACAGGAATAATCAACAGAGGCGATTCCTTCAGGAAGAAAAGATCGAGATCAAACAGCCTCGCTGGAACTCCACCTCCACAGAACCTCAGCCCAGTGCCGTCTCCTGAGCCCGTCAGCTACAGGGTAGCCACTCTCGGCCTTCCAGGAGTCGGAAAAACAGCACTAGTATCACAGTTTATGACTTCTGAATGCATCAATGCTTACGACAGGCAAAAAGGTACGGAAAATGGTACACAATTATCGGACTGTAATTTATACAATTTTTGTTAATATTCATAAATTTTACTTTTAGATGAGCCCAGCCAGCAGTCGGTTCATGTCATGCTGAATGGGGAAGAGTCTGAGTTGAAATTTATCACAGATGCTGAGGTATTTACTTTTATTTTTTATTTTTATTACTTTGATTGATAGTTGAAACTTAAATAATTGGATATTCAGTGTGAAGGCGATGAAGGTCCTGCGGATCTTTACCTCGTCATGTATTCCTGTGTCGACAAAGCATCTTTCCAAAAAGCTGAAGAGCTTCTCAACAAACTTCAGCACGGGCTTCTAACAAGGAACAAGCCCATCATACTCGTCGCGAATAAAGTCGACTTGGCCAGGAGCCGTGCAGTGTCTTCGCAAGGTTTGTTTATTCTTTTTTTTTTTTTTTAATTGTGGTTTATATATAATTAAATTTCTATTTCAGATGGCAAATGCCTCGCTTGTACATACGGGGCGAAATTTATCGAAGTGTCTGTTGGCATTAACCATAACGTCGACGAACTGCTTGTCGGCATCCTCACACAGATAAGGCTTAAGGAGTCTTACAAAGGTAAGGAGACGACGAGGCACTGGTACAATAACCATGGGATGCTTCGCGCTTCGCTTAAAGCCCGCCAGATGATAACGTGGATCTTTGGAAAAGAAGATTCCAAGTTCAAAAACTGCGAGAATTTGCATGTCATATAACTGCATAAAACCATTTCCATTATTGAACCTTCATTCTCTCCCCCTTCCTTCCTGGATGTGTCAAATTACAACTGTAGGCTTTTAAAGTTCTGCCAACTTGTGCGTAATTTTCATTTACAAAAAACAAATTTGTATAAGTTTTCATTATTTGGCATTTATAATGCCTCATAAAATTGAAGACTTATGGATAAACTATATCATTTCCCCCTCCCCCACCGTTAAAACCAAGTTAAAAGAAATTTGTGATAATTTATTTTTTAATAAAAACAGGGTAAAATAAATAAAAATCCATGGTCCCTACAGTTAAAAAAAAAGTAATTCACATTACTTACGCAATTATATTTTAGTTAGATAAGTTTAAAAGAGTATATACTTTGTAAGATGTATTTTTATATAAAAAAAAGAATTTGCTTTCCCATTAACATAACTTTTACCGGGACCATATTTCTAACAATGTTTGTCTAAAATCATCCAACATCTTCCTTAAAGAAAAGATCAAAATTATATTTCGTAGTATTAGTAATAAGTCAACAAAAACTAAATGTGCTTCCCTATAAACTAAATGTTTAACATATAAAAACCGGTCAACTTTTGTACATAATAATTTGATGGAGTGATATACTATATAAAAAACTGGTTTACTATTTGATGTATATTCTTTATAAACGATTGTTTTAATTTTTTCAATTGTTTAAGTTATTGTTAAATATTTAATTGATTATAACAAATAATAATATTGTTGGTTGAGCGTTCAGGTTAAGTAAAAGTCTAAAGAGAATGAAACGATGTATACAATTATATAACAAGGCTGTAAAATAATTAAACGTGTTGTCTTTCTGCTTAAAAATTTGTTGTTTTGAAGAAACTATTTTTAAATAAAAAACGTCTTGTATTTTAACAATTAACACGATTGTAATTAATAGAATGACCTATTTTCAAAAGATTTAAAATATCAAAACAACTCTTTTTCGTCTGAATAAATATTTATATGCTGATAAATAAAGCATATTTTATAACAATTTAACACACCTTTTCTAAAAATTAAATAAAATAAATAATTTTGTACACTATGTAAAGCATTCTCTCTCTTGCGAATATAAGTTATTAATTCAATAAAATACTTGATTAGCTGAATCAACTCTGATTTTATTTGCAAAGTGGTACGACAATACGTTTATTTTGTAAATAATATTTTAAATGTGTAATAGTCGTTTTAATTGGTGTCGTGTTGTGTTATAGACATAATGAGAATACATTTTTTAATGTAGCATGTGACATTTTGCGATGGTTTATTTTATTTTTTATTAATTAAATGTTTGAGAGCAGAGACTCGATTTTTTCTGTTTTCGTCAAAAGTTTTTACAGTGGCCAGAGTGAATTTTGACTATTTAAATTATAATAAATCAATATTGAAACTGTATATTTGCATTATAAAATTGTAATTATATTTTTTAAGAAATTAAATGTAATTGGTTTCGATATAATAAATAAATATAATATTTTATCTACTGTAATATTTATCCCGTTCATACGTACGATTTTAGGCTGACAATATAGGCAGAATCTATTACGCATGAACATTTCAAAGACGAAATTGTTTCTCGTAACTTAAATAGACAAGTTTTCAAGTAATATCAGGTCTTAATATAGGTGTGTAGTCGGTACAAATTGTCAATGCCACATGAAATTAATTAAGGTTTTTAGATGAGATAAAAAAGTCAGTGTCACGAGCGGGATTCGAACCGACGATCTTCGGCTAGATACGCCGCTGCTCTACCACTTGAGCTATCGTGACTTCGACCCACTCAGTCACTAACTTCCCATCTGAACCGCACCTTTTGAATTTTCCCTCCTTTTTGCCATTTTTCAAATGAAATGGCACAGAGAGCTTTAGTGAAGTATACTGCATTTTAATTAATTAAATTCACTATTTTGCGTGATCCGCTTGACCAATTAATGTCATTCAATTAATTAAGGTTTTCCTTTGAGATAAAAAAGTCAATGGCACGAGCGGGATTCGAACCGCTACTCTACCACTTGAGCTATCGTGACCTCGGTCCACTCGGACACTAACTTCCCATCTGAACCCCACCTGTTGAATTTTCCCTCCTTTTTGCCATTTTTCAAAAGTGTAATCTATTTGATTCTCGGCGACAAATGAAATGGCTACGGAGAGCTTTAGTGAAGGTATACTTCATTTAAACTTATTAAATTCACTTTCAGTTTCGTGGTCCGCTTGACAAATTAACATCTTTCACTTAATTAAGGTTTTTAGTTGAGGTAAAAATGAATGACGCCATTTCGTTTGTCGCCGACGTTGTATTCGACGACATTTGAAAAATAACAAAAAGGAGTGAAAATTCAAAAGGTCGGGTTGAAACGGGAAGTTAGTGTCCGAGTGCATCGAGGTCACGATAGCTCAAGTGTTAGAGCAGCGGCGTATCTAGCCGAAGATCGTGGGTTCGAATCCCGCTCGTGACACTGACTTTTTAATCTCAACTAAATCCTTAATTAACTTAAAGTAACCTTGGATGAAAATCTAACGATTACGTACAGAGAAGTACCAGTGTCACAAGGAAATTAAACAACATGATACAAGAATGATGATAATGCAACGTTAAAAATATTCTTATCTCTATGATGGACAAAAAATTAAGCTTGAGAGGAAGGGAAGATTGATAAGAGAAAGGAGTAGGGAGAAAGGGAAACCGATAAGAAAAAAGGTTCGCTCTCCCGTTTGCGCACTCGTGGTGAAAAGGGCACTGAGATTTTATGTTGATGTTATTTCGCAGTTAGAAAGATATATGTAATTTGTTTTATTCTATTTCAATTTGAATATTTGTACTTGATTTTTTAATATTGAGCATTTAAATTATATTAAATTTTAGTTTTTAGTAGCAACGGAGAGCTTTAGTGAAGATATATTTCATTTTATCTTATTAAATTCACTAGCTTTCATGGTCCGCTTGACTAATTAATACCTTTCAATTAATCAAGTTTTTAGTTGAGATAAAAAACTATCTAAAAACTAGTGAATTTAATGTTAAAATGAAGTATATCTCACTAAAGCTCTCCGTGGCCATTTCATTTGTCGCCGAGAAGCAAATAGATTACACAACATTTGAAAAATGGCAAAAAGGAGGAAAAATTCAAAAGATGAGGTTGAGTTGGGAAGTTAGTGTCCGAGTGGATCGAAGTCACGATAGCTCTAGGGGTAGAGCAGCGGCGTATCTAGCCGAAGGTCGTGGGTTCGAATCCCGCTCGTGACACTGACTTTTTTTATCTCAGCTAAAACCTTAATTAATTGAAGGTATTAATTGGTCAAGCGGACCACGAAAACTAGTGAATTATACAGAAAGTTGAACGCAAAACCCTACTAGATGACAGCAACACAAGCACCATACAAATGTACTAAAGAATCTCCCCTTCCCTCGCTTATGGTTATGTATTCCTCCCTGTTTGTATACTTTGTATCTGGCTAACACTGTTTTTCTCAGTCAATCTCTCTATATATGTATGTGACTATTTTTTACCAGTCGCTCACTCTCTCTCTCTCTCTCTCTCTCTCTCTCTCTCTCTCTCTCTCTCTCTCTCTCTCTCTCTCTTCCTCTCCTATCAATCTGCATTTTCTAAATACAATGTACATACGTCTAATTTCCCCGTAAAAGCGATTTGATCGATGTACATTTATATCTAGTTATGTATTTATATATTTATCTGTAAATCTGTTACTTTCTTTTTCAGTAAATCTATGTTTAACTAACTCCCCCCTCTTTCTCTCTTTCCTCTTTTCACGATTTTTATGTTTTTTGATTTTTTTATGTTTATCCCCATTTGTCTTTCAATTGCTTATTGCTTTTCTCCAGTTTTCCACTCCTTTTAAATAATTATTTCAGTATTTATTAATCACTCTCCCTATCTCTCTCACTCTTTTTCCCACTCACTCTTTCTTTCTTCGTTTCTTTCACTCTTTCTTCTTATTCTCTCTCTGTCAGTTTGTCTCTCTGTCTGTTTCTCTCCCCCTCCCTCCTGCTCTCACTCACTCTTAGCACTCTCTCTTTCTCTATTTAACCATCTATCTGTGTATGTATTTATCTATTTAACTATGTATACGTTTACCTATTATTCTATCTATATATTTTTATCTATCTACATCTATATATATCGTATTTGCGAGATTAATTCCTTCTCTCTCTTTCTCAGTCACTCTCTCTCTCTCTCTCTCTCTCTCTCTCTCTCTCTCTCTCTCTCTCTCTCTCTCTCTCTTCGCTCTCTCCAGAAAAAAAATTAAATGGGCAAAAGGAAAAAAGAAAGTAATTTGTAAAAGGCTTTGCAATAGCCTTGGCCGTGAACCTTAGAATGATAGCGTTTGAAACGAACTTCACTTAAAGGACACTTAATGGATTGAGATATCTTGGTTATCTTAACAAAATAACTAGAACGAGGTTTATTTCATTTATTTTTGTTTTACAAAAATGGACTAGGGCGATAATTTCCGACAGGTAAAACTATGCTCTTAAATTTCATCCGTCTATGACGTATAATGTTCTGAAGTAAAACTAAATAAAAAGTACAAAAAATTTTGTGATTGACACGATTTGTAGTTCAGGGAGTGAATTTAATCGAAATTCCACTTATTAAAAAGAAACAGGTAAGCGAGGCTGTGCACTTAGTATTAAAAATTTTACCGCCATTCTAAGTGAACAGTATTCCCAATCAATGTAATTTTTTTATAACAACAAAATAAACATAATTTTTATAATAAACAAAATTTATCCGAGTTATTGAAATCTCTATACATATTATCCGATCCATGCTAGTGTTCCTCAGGGCAACCTACTGGCTCTTATATGTCAAGTTTACACAGCTAATTATTCCCCAATAAAATTCTACTTTGTAACTTTTTACAAAATAAAACCAATTCGGACTAAAGTCTGGGCTTCTGCTAAACGCTCATTATCCTTTGTTATCAAACCTCTGAAATAAAAATTCTTCCGAAAATTTCCATTTTATGTATCAAATGAGGTCTTTCGGTTACATCAAACGCGAATGGAGGGTTGACAAAAGCCTTTAAATTAACAAATGAGATATGAAAATGGGCTAAAATTACAGATCAGAGACTTTTGTAAAAGTTTCATTTCTATCCTAGATCCACATCGGATAATTCGTTCTCACCAATTCCGCTTCTGTCTCCATCATTTCACAATATATTAAGATTGGAAGTCATTCACACCATTTCCTCCGCTCTAGAGAATAATAGCATTTCATGGATGTTGCCCAGGCTTGTGATACAGTCTGGCAACGTCAGTACCTTTCAATTAGAAATCCAGGCAAGTGAGAGATGTCAATTCAACTTGAATATAGGGAACAAAAACAAAACTATCAAGTCGGATAGAAAGGCAGTCATCGTATCATCAATTTCAAAGAGCTCAGTTTAAGTATAGACCCCCAATTGCAAAGCTAAGCAAATCAGATTAGGCGCCCGAAAATGGTTACTCCCTCCTGGGTCACAAAGGAAAGGGTCCACCGCTGGTACCGTGCCATCCAGTTGCCAACACTGAAGATGTATGAACTGGACACAGACAATCCAAAAACCTCCTAGCGAAATTTGGAAAGAAAGAAACAATGCATCAATGGAAGCAGGGCGAGCTTCCAAATAATAACAAGCTTCCTAACAGGGCACTGTGGACTGAACTGGAGCTTGAAGAAGATTGGTATCAACCACCACGATTGATTTTGTGAAGAAACAGAAAAGAACCGAACTCACTAGACCAGAAACCTGGTCTTAATAATAAAATTCCGAGTTGAATTGGAACGCAGCGGTAATCTATAAATATAGTACGGGGCATACAATAGCTCCCAAAGGATCCATTATGCCAAATCACCCCGAATTTTTACATCTAAATAGCGTGGCATTTGGAGATCCTTTATAATTTTAAACGCTTTCTATCAACCCTTTATTACCTTACCTTGAATTTTTATCTAACCGACTCCCATAAGGGAGCATTCTAGGTCCCATCCTGTACACCATATACATACTTTTCAATACATCCCAACACCTTCACTTTCCGTATGAAATGACAATTCTGTTTTCTAACCCGAAAACAATCCAAGCAATCACCAACATCCAAGAATACCTTGAGTTTATCAAAGACGGGTGTATAAAATGGAGGACAAGAATGAATGAGAAAAAATATACACAGTGAAAATACAATCTTCCCCTCCACTGTACAACACCCACAAGGAACTACCGAAATTCAAGTCAAGTACTTACTATGCCTTATTACTTATTATGCCGCCTACAGGAGATTGACGTGGAATCTCGTCACAAGACTTAAGCAGCAACAAAGGAGATTTTTAGGGCAGGATCTGTTTTTACCGTCAGATCTCAACTAACACCACTTTTAAAAAAAAGAGGGAAAATTCAAAAGGTGGGGTTGAGATGAGAAGTTAGTGTCCGAGTGGATCGAAGTCACGATAGCTCAAGTGGTAGAGCAGCGGCGTATTTAGCCGAAGGTCGTGGGTTCGAATCCCGCTTGCGACACTGACTTTTTTTATCTCAACCAAAACCTTAGTTAAAAACTAATTAATTGAAAAGAATTTATTTGGTCATAAAAAGTAAATATCAAATTTTCACAGCCGTTTGTCGAGCAATTCTTTGCTATGCAGGTCAAGTTTGGGGCTATCGCGAATATGAAGAGATAGAAAAAGTTCACCGTTTTTTTGTTCGTAAGTTGTTTGCCCTGTCATCATCAACTCCTAATTATATGTTGTATATTGAGACTGGCATGGAACTGTTGTTTGTTTATTCTTTAAGGTTACATTTTAAGTTCATTAAAAAAAGTACATTCAAGCTCCTGATTCTCGCCTGGCAAAAATTTCATCACTTGAAGTTCTTAAGGGTAACATATCCTGGTTCAGATCCTGGAATTCTCTTGCGGAGAGGTATAATGTGGCTCGGTTCTTTTTGGATAATTTTGCAGCGTGGTCTGAAATGTTTTCCAATCTTCTTCATATTATGGGGGCTCGTCATGGAGAGATTTGTATTTCTCGTGCCGTGGACTCAAATAGATTCCAACTCTACAAGGAGTTGAATCATTCCCTAACTCCTTGCAATGTTTTTTCTGCTCCAGCAAATGATGTTCCGTTCTCTTTTTTCCGCTGGTGGTTTAAAATTCGAGGGGAGTTGTTGTTCCTGAATTTCCGGCCTTGGGTTGGGAGTACTCCTGCCACTGCAGTGTGCTCTCTATGCAACTCAGGTGATCGTGAGGATGCATTTCATTTTCTCGCTAGATGCTCGGTCCTGAACGAATTGAGGTATATGTATGTGGGTAAGGGTTTTCTGACGAGGGAAGAGCTCATAGCCCTTCTGAACGGCTCCGATTGCCGGGTTCTTGTTGATTTTGCTCGGAAAGCCTGGTTTTACAGATATGAATACACTGGAATGTAGGGAATTAATATTCTGTTCGTCTTATTTTGTTTCTTTTTTGTTTGTCTTTTGTTTTTTTATTTTGTTCTGTTTCTAGTTTGTGGGCTTCTAAATGCGAATTCTGTTGGCCTGTGGGGGACCCTATGTAAGTTAGAATCCTTTTGTTCTTTGAAGTGTTATTTTTATTATTTTAAAAGTTTATCGCAATTCAACCTTGTAATTTGAAAATCCTGTAAATAATTGTAACCTCTGAAGTTGATATTTTAAATTCTCCTTTTCTCATAATTATATAATTATGCATATTCTTGGGATAGTAATGCACTCCGAACTCTGGCTGACGGTTTTAATACCATGCCATAACAATACTGTGTTATTTATTTTTAACTTTAAATTTTTTCATTTTGTAAATAAAGTATATCTATTTATCTATCTATCTATCATCATCTATTTGGTCAAGCGGACCACGAAACCTGAGAAGTGTACTATACAAAATATTATTGACACACACATTTTGGACATACGAAGTGGAACTGTGGGTTCTGCCAAGCCATACCATCCAGCGCAGCCAATCCTTACAATCAAAAGTTCTCAGTCGAATTGCCAAAGTTGCTTAATACGTCACTAACATCTTTCGTTCCCGATTCCAAAAGTTTCATACCAACCTCTAAATCCATCGTAATTTCTCGAGCGCACTCTACACCTTCACATCCTAAAAATGGATCCTTTATTAAATCCTTTATCGACGATCCTCCTTGCTTTTTAATCCCTGTCACTGAGTGCCAGGATTGGCTAGTTTCCGGCATGTCTTTTCCGGGTGTAGCGCTGGCCTAATATTAGAGCAGCGACCGTGTGGTTTTGGCACCGAGCCATTCAAAATCCTATGGATCCAATCTTTCCATCCAACTCCTTCCCTCAACAGTCTTTTTGTCAATGAAGGAATCCGCTTCTAAAGATTCCGCGCTAAGTTTTCATCCTAATCCTACTTTCCAAGCACAATTTACACTTCCATATCCTGAGAACCCGCCATGTCGCCTATGAAAATGATGGCAGGTTTCTTGTAACAGGTGCCCTCCGGGTCATTGCTGGCCATAGTGTAAGTAAATGCTTTAAAAACAGCATTAAGAGCAAACCATAAATAAAGTGCGTGTGTATATGTTCATCACTAGGTGACTATTAACTGTGTCGAAAAAAGGTCAGTTGACCTAGATTATTTCTTTCTCCTTCAAGGACGTCTGAATTTTGATCAGGACATCTAGGCAAATAGATAAAAACAAAATGTTTCAAAAAAGGTAAAAAGTTCATAAATTATCGGACATGGCATTGGACTCCGTCTATCTAACGACGGACCTCAATCGCACTTTTTATCTGAGGCTCCCGATAAATTTTAAGCTCGGTTTTTCTTTTTTGCCCTCAAAATGTGCATAAAACATGACGTGTGACCTCTCGCCGAGTCTAGTCTCTTTTCCGTCCTCGGTGGAACAAGTCGTTGTAGTCAGTTTCATACATCCATTAAATTTTGGTAAGTTTCTTTTGTTTAATATAATACAGTTAATTGTTTAATTTTTAAAAAGGTATGAACGTTTTTGAAATAGAATTTCAAAAAAATCTAATTGGTTACGTTTTGTTCCTGGAGTATACATTTCAATTACATCAGGTTTTACAATTTCATGGAGTTATTCAAACCATATTTTTACAAGTTTCGGGAAGTTAGACTTAAAACAAATTTATAAAAAGTTTATTTTTTTGTCATAACAAGGAAAAATAACATTGCTAGCAAATAAAATCAATTTGTTACAATAATTCTTATTTGTTAGTAACTAAATTTTTCAACCATATCCTTGTACCCAATACTCATTTCCATTAAAAATATTTCTGCCAACATTTTCGAGATGCTTGTTGTAATATTTTACAAACTGATTCAAAATAAAGTTGCAGAGTAATAAAATATAAAATTAAATGTGTGGTGATTGGTACACTCTCAACACGACACGCAAGAATGGCACACTTAGGCAGAAAACAAACACTTTGAGCCCTGAAGATGATCTCAATAAAGATCGAAACGTTGGCACGATAAAGAAAATGTTTTGCTGAAAACTACATCACACCAGACCGCATCTCACGATTTCTGAATAATTATAAAATTGAAGTGAATTTAAGAAGATAGATTGCCCTATGCTTTAAACCTCTTCCAATAATTTGTAGCCCCCACATCAGTGCGAAAATTAATATATTTATCATATGTTATAAGTTTTTTGTTTGTTTTAGTTTGTTAGAACGTTGTTAACATTGTTGTAAATGTATCGAGAACAAACATGTCCCTCGCTCTTGAACGACTGTTCGGATCAGGTGGTGGGAAGACCAGGTTTTCTCTTCAGAAGTCTCTTAAATACCCTCATGGTGTCTCAGTGCGCGTTGTCCTTTGTCAAGTACCCGCCTAATTATTCATGCGAGACCGGTGAAGAGTTCGATTTCATAATCATCGGTGGTGGCACGGCAGGGTCTGTAGTGCTCAACAGACTCGTGGAGATATCCAGCTGGAAGGTGCTGATGATCGAAGCAGGCGATGACCCAAAGTTAACGTCGAACGTTCCGTTTTTCCACACGCACCACTCCGAATCCGACTGGCGATTCTTAACTGAGCCATCTTTTAAGAAGGGTACCAACAGCTGGATCTGGCCAGCTGGAAAAGTACTCGGCGGTTCTTCCGTCACAGGAAGGATGTTGTACGTAAGAGGCACCGGGGAAGATTTTCAAAAATGGTCTATCAATAAAGGCTGGAGTTACGAAGAGATACTAAGGTATTATAAAAGAGCTGAAAAACTTAGGGATAAAAATCTCACCATGAATAACTTATACGGCGTCGGAGGATACCTCCCGATAGAAAAATTCAACAGCTCTTCTCCAGAAGTTATCGGCTTGATTGAAGCAGCAAAGCTAAACGGTTTTGACATATTAAAACACGCCGGTGTAGCAAAACCCGGATATTTGAAAGCTCACGGTAACATCCTCAAAGGTGAAAGGGTGAGCGTGTCAAAAGCGTACCTGTTTCCGATTCGAAATAAAAAAAATGTTTATTTAATAAAAGACGCGTTTGTTAGGAAGATCTTGGTAGACCCTAAGACCAAGACCGCTCGAGGCGTTGAGGTGAACGTGAAAGGCAAAATCAAAGTGTTTAGAGCTTCCAAAGAAATAATTGTTTCAGCAGGTGCTATCAACACTCCAAAGATACTCATGCTATCCGGAATCGGCCCGAAACGAGATTTGATGAAACTCGGCATTCCCGTCATTGCTGATTTGAAAGTCGGTTACAATCTGCAAGACCACCCGACGTTCATCGGAATGCCTTTGATATATAACTCGACGAAATCTGGGAAAGGGTTGGAAGAGCTTGACGCCGCTTATTCTTACTTGACGAGAAGGTCGGGGAAGTACGCGACCATAGGTATATCTGAGGTTATCGGCTTTCTCTCTTCCACCGAAAAAGGCGTTCCGGATTTCATGCTGTACCATTCCATGCTGAACAGAAACAACACTAAACAGCTATTGGATTTTGTCCGTTTTTATAACTTGAAACCAGAGGTTCTCCACGCTTATGAGAAGTTGGTTCAAGCGAACAACGTAATCTTAGTAATGCCGGTGTTGTTGTCACCGAAGAGTAGAGGTAGAATCACACTGAGGAGTAAAAATCCAGAAGACCCACCATTAGTTTATCCGAATTATTTCAGCGCAGCGGCCGACACGGAGACGATGATAAGGGCGATTCGTCTCGTAAAACTGATGACGGAATCGTTCGCGTTCAGAAAATACTTTGCGGAAATAAGGCGTCTCAAATTAAACGAATGTTCCGACGAGCTTTTCTTTACCGACGGTTACTGGGCCTGTCTCCTGGCACAGCTAACCGTGTCTTTCAACGACTACGCTGGCACGGCGAAAATGGGTCCGTCAGGTCAAGCTGATTCGGTTGTTGGGCACGATTTGAAGGTGCACGGAGTGAAGAGATTGAGGGTGGTCGACGCGTCGATAATCCCTTCCCTCACAAGCAGCCCGTTGCTTGCAACGACAGTAATGATTGCTGAAAAAGCTTCAGACATGATCAAGGCTGATTATATCGTAATCAAAGCCAATTCGACTCAGCAGTATCTTGCCTGCAATAAAACCGGTGTACGACAAGCCTGCTTTCCAAGTAATTAAATGGACTCAAAAGTAGGAATTTCAAAGAATGTTGGTCTGAATTTTGAAAAACTAAATAAACATATGATTTTCCATCTGAGGATGAACTTCATATACCTAACTATAAAAAAAGAATAATTTTTATAATAAACTTATAATGACATGTTTTTTATAATAACACGGGGAAGCTACCATGAGTCCAAACTATTTTGTTGTTGTTGTAGGGTATTGTTGTTGTATTGTAGGGTTGGTCTTCCAAATTTTGCCCTAATTCAAATTATAGAATAGAATAGAAAAAATATTTTGTATGCTGTTAAACAAATTTTGAATGGGCTCTATATTTAACTTTAGCCATACACCTTAGAACGTTAAGTGCTTTTTATATTATCCGACTGTGCGTGATATGTGATTTCCATAACGGTTTTTATCCACAATTAGAACCAAAAATTGTAGCTAGATGTGGGATGTTTCCTTGAGTAATCGATTAAGGAAAGTGAAAGCGTTATTTCCTTGTAATAAGAAATCACAGGGTTGTCCATTCCATAAGAGGTCTTGTGGGTGGTTAAGGTAAAAGATGGAGTTTTTAACTGAGTTAATTTCACCTGCTCTGAGTTTACATTTTTTTAGTGCCGCTCTGTACAGTGAAAAAGCAAACGGACTAAAATAGTCACTGTCCTTTGGGGGTCTCGAGTCTGTCTGCCATATAGCTAACATTAACACAAAAACAGATCTGTTTTGAATACGTTAATAGATGCCAGAATTGAGACTTCGTTGAATTCCTAGAGATGATATTGGAAGAGATGTTAATGTTTACAAAATTGCAAGCATTTGATATATTGTCAAAGAAGGAATTATGTTTTTGCAAAATGAATTGGATTTCTTTTCAGTACATATTTTCACTAACTTCTTTCTCTTGTGTTCTTACCAAAACTGAATACTGTGAGATTTCTAATTAAGGTATACGAGGTGATGAACCTGCAGTTTTTCCCTATAGGCCTTTTTTGACATGTGAGATGAACGTCATATAGGATTTGTTGAGAAAACATACTGGCGTACCATTTCGTATGACCAATCTTCGAAACGCCAACTTAGGCGATACCTGAGCAGACTTTTAGGATGTAAATTTTTGCTATTCGATACAGATTAAACAACAATTAAATTGTTTTTAACTTGTTTATTAATTCTAATTACATTCTTTGGTATTGGTTAGGTTTTAGTTCCTTTAGAGGTGAGCTATGCCTGTCCAACAGTCCTGCCTCCCACAGGCCGAAGATGTGGTCATCTCCGGTATGTCCGGACGGTTTCCGGAGTGCTCTGATATGGAAGAATTCAAAGAGGGCCTTTTCGCCGGGGTGGATCTTGTAACTGAAGATGACCGAAGGTGGCCTTTAGGTGAGAAGAATAAAATTTATAGGGGTCGCATTTCCTTAATGAAAATTTCACCCTAGGAATCCACGGTATCCCGACTAGAAACGGGAAGCTGAAGAATATCAATGCGTTCGACGCAACCTTTTTCGGCGTCCACGCTAAGCAGGCTGACGCGATGGACCCAAATTTAAGGATTCTCCTCGAGGTCACTCACGAAGCCGTGATGGACGCAGGTTCGTTCTTCGTTTGGTAAACGTAATATACTATTATTAAGGGTATTTTTTTAGGTATAAACCCACAAACTTTGAGAGGTTCTAGGACGGGTGTCTACGTAGGACAGGCTTTCAGCGAGTCCCAGGGGTATGTTACATCCGACGTGGAATCTTTGACCGGATACGGCTTGCTAGGTACCTCCAGGGCACAGGTCGCGAATCGGATATCTTTCGCTTTCGACTTTAGAGGTCCGAGTTACAGTATGGACACTGCATGTTCCAGTGCTCTTTTTGCCTACCATCATGCGGTCGAGGCCATAAAAAAGGGCGACATCGACTATGCCGTTGTGGCAGGGGTTAATCTCCTGCTCAAGCCTGAAACCTCTCTTCAGTTTCACAGACTCAGCATGCTCAGCGCTACCGGTACATGCCGGTCGTTCGACTCCTCGGGTAAGTTTATTAAGCATGAAGAAAAAGAAACAAAATTTTTTTGATTTTTCGTGTAGGCAGTGGATATGTCAGGAGCGAAGCTATTTGTGTAGCGTTCTTGCAAAGGGCGGCAACTGCAAAAAGAGTATACGCAACGACTGTTAACATAAAGACAAACTCCGATGGCTACAAAGAACTAGGGATAACATTCCCATCTGGAGAAATGCAAAAAGCTCTAATTAAAGACGTTTTCAGAGAAACATCAGTTTCTCCCAATGAAATATCTTATGTAGAAGCACACGGCACTGGGACTAAGGTACTAATATTTCACCAAATATGTCTGTAAATCGCCATAAAGTAGTAGATTAAATGTTTTACACTATATTAATAATAAATATATTTATTTAGGCAGGAGATCCGCAGGAGATGAACACAATAGCAGATGTCTTCTGTGAGGATAGGGAAAGAGCATTGCTCATCGGTTCCGTTAAGTCGAACGTGGGTCACTCGGAAGCAGCGGCAGCACTCTGTTCGTTGGCCAAAGTGGTTATCGCCATGGAAGAAGGGGTCATTCCGCAGAACTTACACTACAAAGAGCCCAACCCCGACATCCCGGGATTATTGGACGGTAGGATGCAAGTCGTCGACCTCAACTGGCCATGGGAGGGAGGCTACGTGGCCCTCAACTCGTTCGGATTCGGCGGTGCCAATGCTCATCTCGTTCTAAAATCCAACAAAAAACCGAAACGGCAAGTTACGCAGGGTCTGCAGAAAATTGTAGCAGTTTCAGGAAGAACCGAAGAATCAGTGCGACATTTTCTTGCAAAGGTACAAACCTTCAATTTCATTTCGTCTAATTATCTAAACAATATTTCTTTCTTTTTAGGTCGAAAAGAACAAAAATGATGATGAATTGTTAGCACTATTACATGATATACATAAAACAAACATCACAGGACATCATTATAGAGGGTTTCAACTATTAGGAACTAATATTCAAGAAATTGAGGTAGGAAACACCACATCATATTATGTTGGTCTAACACAACGCTTTCAAAATCGTTCAGCCTATGTTTGATGGACATTATACACTGACCAAAAATCGGCGAGATTATACGGATCTATAATTAACCGTTTTGTTCTAACACATGATCCTATCGTAGGAAACTACGAAAGATCGAGAAGTATGGTACGTATTCTCCGGAATGGGGAGCCAATGGGCTGGTATGGGAAAAAGACTGATGGCAGTGGAACAGTTTTCAAAAACAATGCATGAATGTGCGAACGTTCTGTCCAAGGAAGGATTAGATCTTTTGTCGTTAATAAACAGTGGTGATGACAAAACATTTGAAAATGTCGTCAACTCTTTTGTCTGCATTGCCGCAATACAGGTAACCCTGGAGTATGTCCAAATTATATGATAAATCTCCAAAAAATATATTCCCAGGTTGCTCTGGTGGATCTGCTTGATTCTATGGGAGTGCGTCCTGATGGAATTTTGGGCCATTCCGTTGGTGAACTTGGCTGCGCTTACGCCGATGGGACTTTCACTGCTGAGCAGACCGTCCTTGCGGCCCATGCTCGTGGAAAATGCATATTAGAAACTCAAAAATCTCCCAATTTCGAAGCTGGAGCCATGGCTGCAATCGGTACTTTAAAAACAAACAAAAATTCACTTTATAATATTAAATTGAGTTGTTTTTAGGGTTGACATGGGAAGAGACAAAAAAGAGACTGCCTGATGGTCTAGTCGCAGCATGTCACAACTCACACGATTCCGTTACGATATCAGGCCCTGAGTGTTCCGTTAAAGATTTTGTAGCAGAGCTAACTAAAGAAGGAGTTTTTGCCAGAAAAGTCAACAGCTCTGGATTCGCTTTTCATTCAAAGTACATAGCCGTCGCCGGGCCCAGACTTCAAGAGAGCCTGGAAAAGATTGTTCCCGTACCTAAGCCGAGGTCGAAACGTTGGATAAGCACTTCAATCCCTGAGGATAGATGGTCCTCTGAACTTGCAAATGATTCATCCGCCACGTATCACGTCAACAATCTCCTCTCGCCGGTTCTGTTCCACGAGGGTCTATCGAAAGTGCCGGAAGATTCGATTATCGTCGAGCTGGCTCCGCACAGTTTGTTGCAAGCAGTGCTTAAACGTTCAAAGCCGAAGTGTACAGTGCTAGGATTGACAAAACGAGGCAGCCCCGATGATGTCAATTACTTATTGAATCAGCTCGGAAAGTACGTCAAGGTAATCATTTTCCTAAATTGCCGACTAATTTCATAATTTTTAGGCTCTACAATACAGGAGTCGCGTTGAATTTTGCGTCTCTCTATCCTAAAATCGTCTTCCCTGTTGGAAGAGGCACCGCGATGATTTCTCCGATGGTTAAGTGGGACCACTCCGTGGAATGGGACTCCTTCCTTTCGGGAAAAATGACGACCAACTCGGGGGAAAGTGTGGTCGAGGTAGATCTGTCGAAGGAAGCACACGGCTTCTTGACTGGGCATGTTATCGATGGAAGATTAATTTTACCTGGAACGGGATACCTGGTGAGAACCCAGATATACATTCAATTATACGGATATATGGTCAACCACTACAGTTTTAACCTACATTTTTCCTTTTACCGACATTGACCCATACTTTCAGTTCCTTAGACCATTCTTTTAAAGATTTCTAGAAAGCTTCAGGATTTTTCTGACCTAAGCATTGTACACTAAAAAGATTTCTGTTCTAGTTGATACATCTATTTGTCTAAAAGTTTCAAAATAATTCTGTTTCACTGAGATATATAGCACTCTTTAATTTTTCAGAAATCGTGAGATGCGGTCTGGTGTGATGTAGGTTTCAGAAAAACATTTTTTCTGAAACCAACATCACACCAGACCGCATCTCACGATTTCTGAATAATTATCGATTAACGGTCACTAATCACCATACACTCTTTAATTTGTTTACACTTTTCAATTATTGGATGATGTTTTGAAGCTGAATTTCGAATGATTTGAATGTGTGGTGATTAGTGATCCTTTGTCGATAATTATTCAGAATCGTGAGATGCGGTCTGGTGTGATGTAGGTTTCAGAAAAACATTTTCTTTATCGTGCCAACGTTTCGATCTTTATTGAGATCATCTTCAGGGCGTGGAATTTACAAACATTGTTTAAATTTAACAAATACACGCAGGATGTGGAAATAGTGAATTTATACAATGCAAAAAATTTTTTTAATATATTCAATCAAAGTAGTTTTACTCTTCTTTGATTGAATGTATAAAAAAATATATTTGCTTTTTGCAATTATAAATTCAGTTTTTCCACATCCTACATGTATATGTAAAATTTAAACAATGGTTGTAAATCCCAGACCCTGAAGATGATCTCAATAAAGATCGAAACGTTGGCACGATAAAGAAAATGTTTTTTTTTCTGAAACCTACATCACACCAGACCGCATCTCATGATTTTCGAATAATCATCGACTAACGGTCAGTAATCACCACTAATTTCTTAATCTTAAAATATTAGTGGGCGCACATTTCTTGATGAACTAAGGGTGGTGCACAGCTCTTTGAAATACAGTTCCGCAACACTCTCTTCCATTGCAAAACTGTCTTGTACGTTATTTTTCTGTTTTGTGTGCGATGTTTTTTTTGTATGTGGCGTGCGCATGTGCCCCTTCTTGATTTTTTAAATATAAAATTATATTTTTCTAGTGATATTTGGGCATCTCTTAATTAACCTACATCACACCAGACCGCATCTCATGATTTCTGAATAATTATCGATTAACGGTCACTAATCACCACACACTCTTTAATTTGTTTACACTTTTCAATTATTGGATGATGTTTTGAAGCTGAATTTCGAATGATTTGAATGTGTGATGATTAGTGATCGTTTGTCGATAATTATTCAGAAATCGTGAGATGCTGTCTGCTGTGATGTAGGTTTCAGAAAAACATTTTATTTATCGTGCCAACGTTTCGATCTTTATTCAGATCATCTTCAGGGCCTGGGATTTACAGGCATTTTTTAAATTTAACAAATACATGTAGGATGTGGAAAAAAGTGGCATTCTCAACACGGCACGCAAGAATGGCACAATTACGCAGAAAACAAACACTGGATGAGTAGAAATACTTTGATTGAATATATAAAAAATATGTTTTTGCATTGTATAAATTCACTTTTTTCCACATCCTACATGTATTTGTTAAATGTAAACAATGTTTGTAAATCCCAGGCCCAGAAGATGATCTCGATAAAGATCGAAACGTTGGCACGATAAAGAAAATGTTTTTCTGAAACCTACTAATCACTGATTTTAATGTGGACTTCCACATGAAATTCTGGTCTTTGTGATTGATGAGCGATTGTTTTTCGATTGTTTCTTTGGTGTTTCTTGTTTGGATAATAAATTATATGACGAGCATTTGTTTAATTGATTTTTAACCTAAAATCCAAAGAGGTTAATGGTGAAGAACCACCGTTGAGCATAAAACAGTAATGTCAGATTGTGTCATTATTCATACAGAATTTTTCCTTTTTTTAAGTCAATTGTATGGAAAACGTTTGCTAAACTGCAAGGGAAAAAACTAGAAGAAACTGCAGTTGCTTTTGAAAACGTATCTATAAAAAGGGCGACGATTATGCCCAAAGAAGGTAAAAATGAATCAAGTGGGAACAAGCTAATTCTGATAACAAATAACCAACCTTTCTTTTTACAGGGTCTGTTAAATTATCTGTGAGCATATTGAACGGATCCGGCGATTTTCAAATAACGGAGAGCGAATCCGTCGTGATGACCGGACGGATTTCCAGCTGGACAGATTCGGATGAAAACCATGAAAATCTCCCGATGGGAAAACAGAAACTGTCGAGCGAAGAATTCTATAAAGACCTCTACCTGAGAGGTTATGACTACCAGGATGAATTTCGAATTGTCAAAAGCACCGACGGTTACGGTTAGAATATCACTTTGAAAAAATAAAAATTAGATAAAGAAATGTTAATTTGTTGTCTTTTCCTTTTAGGCATCAGTGGTATTTTGGAATGGAGAGAGAATTGGATCACCTTTATGGATGCTATGTTACAATTTTCAATATCTCATAGAAACACTAGAGAACTTTACCTGCCAACTAGATTCCAAAGAGTAACGATCGATCCAAAAAAGCACATCGAAGCGGCTAAATTGACAAAAGGTACAGCAAAAAATAAAATTTTCCTATAAATAATAAGAATTATAGTAAATAATTATAAGAAGTTTTATAATAACATTTTTTTTCTATTTTTAGACTTTGAAGTATATTTCAACAAAGATTTATCATTGATCAAAAGTGGAGGTATTGAAATCAAAAATTTAACGACGAGTATCGCCAGGAAGAAGCCTCTTCAACAGGCACAGCCCAAACTTGAAAAATATTCTTTTGTCCCGTACCTCAAGAACGTGGTAATGTTTAAGTTTTTTAACGGTAAATTCAATGAAAATTTGAAGCACTTGTGAACAAATTTAATCAACAATGGATGACCATTCTCTTCCATTATTTCTCGCCATCGTCCATGTTATTTTGTAATTTTGACCTATTGGAAATTCTCAGGTTTTTGATAAATTTTCTACAATCCTCAAGTAAAGTTTTTCCTATTAATGTGGCTTTGCAGAAGAATATCTGAAAGTCTTAATGGTTAGTATCAGGCGAATATGCTGGGGGTAGCCAAAAGCCAACCTGTAGCAATTGCTGGCGCGTCTGAACAAATGTTATTTTGTGAATCCCCTTGCGATTATTCAAGCCGGTAGTTTTTGGCCGATTATGAATCTTCCAATTGTGTAGCCGAGTGGTTAGCATGAGAGACTCTCACGCCGCGGTCGTGGGTTCGATTCCCGAAGTCGCCTCTGGCCCTTTTTTCACAATAAGCCCCCCAAATTTGAACACACATATATGAATTGTCACATGGCTAATATGCATAGTTCATAACGCAAAAAAAAAAAAAAAAAAATTGTGTGCAACAGAAACTTAAATCAAGCACTTTCTTCAAATACCAAACGCACTTTCTTCGTATGTAATCCTGTTTTTAAGTTTTTAACGGTGGCCCCTCCGTTTTCCCCAAGATTTTCCTCATTTTCATTGCCTTGAGTGTTTAGTCCAGGCTTTTAGCGTCAATAGAAAAAAAAAATTATTTTTGAGTGAAAACAATGAAGCAAAGTTTTCCCATTAAGAGAGTTTATATTGCCTAGAAAAAGTGATAATCAAAATGGCAGTGTTATGGTAGGTAAGTTAGCACATCCTAGCCAATCTATAACGGTGAGTCGCTGCGTTTCCTTGGATTTTCACTCTGGTTGTTGTGACCCACTTTTCATTCTCAGTTATCAATCTTTCTAAAAATGGATCGTTTCCATTCGCAGGAAATCGTAAATGGAAATGCGTTCAAATAAATTGTCACTCAACACACGAAGAACTCATATACTCCAAATATTTCCAGCTGCTCTCAGATGTGTTTAAACGCGTGTATGAGATAATATCAAATGTCTCGTGATGTTGAATTATGTGAGCTTGAATTCGGTCATTTTCCGAAAAAGTTCCTCTTTTGAACCTAGTGAACCACTTACAAAAGGTTCTTTCTCCTAAAGGGTCATCACCATGCACATCACAAATTTTCGTAGCATTCTGACCGGCCATTTTTCCTTTAAAACGTAAAAGGGATAACATTGAATTATTGCAAAAACATACAAACTTATTTTACAATAACTGATTTTAACAAAAGGTTGCAAGGAGAATGGAGTCTACTTGTATTTTTATATAATCAATAGTTTCTGTGTTGTGTTTAAAATTATTTGAATTTAAGGCGATGACGAAGGAAAACGCTTTATCTTCCGCACTTCAAATTGTCGGCGAGAACTCTGCAGGCGCTCTAAAGCTCAAGATTCTAGAGCTTGCGACATCGCCGGAACTTTTAAGTCCTGAAATCGTCGAAATTGTGTCATCAGAGCCACAACTCAGTGTAAGTTTGTATAAAAACTTCTTTTTTTTTAATTTGTTGTTTTAACGGTCAATTGATTTAAGTGCGAAGTCACAGTCGCATCGTTAAACCCTGAAATTCTGGGTCTTAAACCCAACGGTATAAAGGTAGTTAAAAAAGATCCAGCTGCAGCTGTAGACGAAAACCTCCATCTTGTCATCGCCTCTAGCGTTGATTCCGTGCTTTTGTCATCAGTCGAAAAAAACCTTAAAACTGGAGGATTTCTTTTGGTGGAAGGAAACTCTTCTTCACTAATAAAATGTACCTTGGAGACGATAGCGAAATTCGATTGCGATGGCAGATTTATTCTCTTGTTGAGAAAGGTAATTGAAAATATTTTATATATAATTTTTCAATAGCTTTTTTGGAAAATATCATACAATAGATATATTACATTAACAACCCACAACCAGCTACATGTAATTTTTACATTTAATAACTCTATAAAATCTACATTTTGAACTAAAATCATATTTTTATTCTACAATATTAATTCGTAAATACAAAAATTTACGCCGATCATTCATTTAAAACTGACAAATTTACCAATTCCGCTAATAAATGCGGCAACAAGTTATAAAAATGACTGTAGGTTGAAGTATTATCAAATACTAAAGCCTTACATAAAACATACTTTATTGACTGTGTATTTATTTAAAAAAAAATTTTTTCAGTACAAATATGCATATAAAGATTTTACTCCGAAGTTAAACATGCGTTGATGACGTAAATGTTTTTGTTACCTTTCGGACAAAACACTCATGTAAAATTTAAACATGGATATGCTTTTGGGTTGTGTTGAGGATTAGAGATTTGTTAGGTAGGGTTAGGATTTGGTTAGGGACTTATTAGGTTAGGGTTAAGTTCAATTTTTTCTTTTGGCCCCAGTTTGTTAACGAAACACATATTTAGTTTGAAAAATCTAGTAAGAACTACCTAGTTTTGAAAAACAAACTTTTAAGCTAAATTTTTTAATTAATCCTTTTAATTATTTTTAACTGGAATCTGTTAATCCGTTATGTAAAATGCATTAACCCCCTAGGTAGAAACTTGGGTTTTGAACTAAAACACATGTCAATCTTAATGTCGGGCTTCTCTTTTAAATCCTTTTTTTAAACATTAAAATAAAAATAAATAAATATTCTTGTTTTTACGGAGTACAAGTGCACAAATTCATGGCAAAATTAACACTAGAATAGACCTTAAGTAACAATCACATTTTAGGAACTGCATTTTAACCTGAAATTTCGTGTATAACCTTATTTTTAACATGAAACTCATGCAAAGATTTTTTTTTAATCTCAAGATTTAAGGTTACAATATGTTATCAGAACCCAAAGTTTAACCAAATTTATAGCATGTCAACTCTTATAAATTTCACTTTTTAAACTGAAGATTCATGTTTCACTACATTTTAGACTAAAACCGCATTTATAACCTAATTTTTTAACATAACTTAAGTAAATTGCACTTTATAAACTGAAAATTAATGTCGCACAACATTTTAGACTAGAATCCCATGTACATTTTAATTTTTGGCAGGAAACTACTCATGTAATACAAAACTTTTAAAATGCAGATTAATGTAACACGTTAAACGCACGTTTTAAACTGAAGATTCATGTTAGGTTACAGTTTAGATTCCATAATGTTTAACCTAATATTTAACGTTAAACCTCACAAGTCAATTTTTACATTACATTTTAGACTACAACCTATGTTTTAGCATAACAATTCACTTAAAATGCTGTTTTTAAACTGAAGATTCATGTTTCTCTACGTTTTAAACTAAAACTCCATTTATAACCTAATTTAACATTAACGTAACACGCTAAACGCACGTTTTAAAATGAAGATTCATGTTAGGTTACAGTTTAGATTCCATAATGTTTAACCTAATATTTAACGTTAAACCTCACATAAGTCAATTTTTACATTACATTTTATACTACAACCTAAGTTTTAGCATAACAATTCAGTTAAAATGCTGTTTTTAAACTGAACCTTCATGTTACACTACATTTTAGACTAAAACCCCATTTATAACCTAATTTTTAGCATCACAATTAAAGTGAATTGCATTTTCTAAACTGAAGATTCATGTTACTCTACGTTTTAGACTAAATCCCCATTTATAACCTAATTATTAGTATCTCAATTAAAGTGAATTGCATTTTTTAAACTGAAGATTCATGTTACTCTACGTTTTAGATTAAATCCCCATGTATTGTATAACCTAATTTTTTAACATAATTGACGTAAACTTCACTTTTTAAACTGAAACTTAATGTCGCACATTTTAGACTAGAATTCCATGTATAATTTTTGGCACGAAAACTCACGTAATACAAAACTTTTCAAACTGCAGATTAACGTAACACGTTAAATGCACGTTTTAAAATGAAGATTCATGTTAGGTTACAGTTTAGATTCCATAATGTTTAACCTAATATGTAACGTTAAACCTCACATAAGTCAATTTTTACATTACATTTTAGACTACAACCTAATCTACAACCTAAGTCTTAGCATAACAATTCACTTAAAATGCTGTTTTCAACCTGAACCTTCATGTTATACTACATTTTAGACTAAAACCCCATTTATAACCTAATTATTAGTATCTCAATTAAAGTGAATTGCATTTTTTAAACTGAAGATTCATGTTACTCTACGTTTTAGACTAAACCCCCATTTATAACCTAATTTTTTAACATAATTGACGTAAATTGCACTTTTTAAACTGAAACTTAATGTCGCACATTTTAGACTAGAATTTCATGTATAATTTTTGGCAGGAAAACTCATGTAATACAAAACTTTTCAAAGTGCAGATTAATGTAACACGTTAAATGCACGTTTTAAAATGAAGATTCATGTTAGGTTACAGTTTAGATTACATAATGTTTAATCTAATATGTAACGTTAAACCTCACATAAGTCAATTTTTACATTACATTTTAGACTACAACCTATGTTTTAGCATAACAATTCACTTAAAATGCTGTTTTTAAACTGAACCTTCTTGTTACACTACATTTTAGACTAAAACCCCATTTATAACCTAATTATTAACATCTCAATTAAAGTGAATTGCATTTTTTAAACTGAAGATTCATGTTACTCTACGTTTTAGACTAAATCCCCATTTATAACCTAATTTACGTAAATTGCACTTTTTAAACTGAAACTTGATGTCGCACATTTTAGACTAGAATTTCATGTATAATTTTCGGCAGGAAAACTCATGTAATACAAAACTTTTCAAACTGCAGATTAATGTAACACGTTAAATGCACGTTTTAAAATGAAGATTCATGTTAGGTTCTTCCATAATGTTTAACCTAATATGTAACGTTAAACCTCACATAAGTCAATTTTTACATTACATTTTAGACTACAACCCCATCTACAACCTAAGTTTAGCATAACAAATCACTTAAAATGCTGTTTTTAAACTGAAGATTCATGTTACAGTAATTTTAAATGAAGCTTATGTATTTTTTTAGTAATGTACTTTAACGTTTAGCTTTAAAAAGACCTTTTTTAAACTGAAGATTTGTTAGATTACATTTTTACTAGATAACTTAATATTTAGCTTGTAGAATTTTTTTTAATGAAGACTCGTGTTACACTCCACTTTACACTACAACCCCATAACATATAACCTAATTTTTAACTTTTAAAACATACTTTTAACATTTTTAAAATGGAGATTCACGTATTGTTAATTTTTAGGTGGTATCTGTGATGAGGTCACCAATAATTGTCTTTATTATCTAACTGACTTATGTGATTTTTAGCATGAAAACTTCAGTAAAAACACTTTTTAAACTGAAGATTCATGTTACTACAACAACCTCATGTAAAGCTCATATAGTTAGTTTGTTTACTGATTGAGGTGGCCACCTGCAGTAACCACACCCGCTAGGTGTTACCATCAGTTCTGGAATGGTCATCTGGTTCTGCAGCCAATCAGAGTAGAGCCATTTCGTATATAAGCAAGGGCACTACCCCACTGACTTCAGACTCATCTCACCAACGATATCTCAACAATCTCAAAGTCCTGGACCACTACCAACGGCATACACGGTCCCATGCTCTCTTCAATTCAAAACAACACACCCTTGTTAGGGCCACAAAAACTCCCAGTCACTAAACTGATATTGCATGTTACATTGCATTATTGAAAAAGTATACTTTTTTTTTTTATTATATAAAACAAAAAACAAGAAAGCCCTTAGATTTTGGCTGATCAGCCTAATTTTTAGAGTAAAAACTAATCACAAATCTACTTTTTAGCTTAAGTCATCCAAACCTTCATTTTAGAAAAACACGTGTAGAACCTAACTTTTGTTGTCAAATTCCACTGAAGTGTTTTTAAAATTTCTCTCTTGGTCTCATAACGTTTGCAAGATGTATATTTCAAACTAAATGTTAAAAGTTTGTTTTAGTCTATAAATTCTTGTAAAAGACTATGCAATCAGACTATTATTTATTTAACCTAATTTAACAGTTCAAGGTAGTGATTCAATTTCTTTTAAGGTTCCTGTTTGGAGTGACCCCAGGGTAGTCCATGTGACTCAAAAAAACTTCAATTGGGTTGAAAGTGTCAAAATGGCTTTGAAAGACAGCGAAATGTCCGGAAGGAAAGTGCTTTTGGTCAGCCAGAGGGAACCGCACTGCGGTATCATTGGTATGGTCAACTGTCTAAGGCAGGAGCCAGGTGGTGCAAATATCCGGTACCTATCTTTAAAAATTTCCAAATCCATAATCATTTATTTAAATTAATACGTTTTTCAAGATCGCTCTTCATACCTGACTCTGAATCTCAAGAGTTTTCTTTGAAAAATCAAGATTACCTGAACCAACTCGGAAAGGACCTTTTTGTCAATGTGTTAAAAGGAGGAATTTGGGGAAGCATGAGGCATTTAAAATTCAACCGGAACAAGGATGAAGTCAGAGTCGAACACGCGTATGTCAATACGATAGTTAGAGGTGACCTGTCAAGTCTGAGTTGGATCCAGGGACCTCTGACATACCAGGAGACGCCAAAAGAACTTTGCACGGTATACTATGCTCCTCTGAATTTCCGAGACATTATGCTGGCCACAGGCAAACTACCTCCAGATGCTCTCCCAGGAGAGTTGGCTAGTCAAGTAATTTTGAACTTATTTTTTAAATATTATCAATGTCTTAAATGTATGAAAATATAACAATTTTATTTTTTCAGGAATGTATTCTGGGAATGGAGTTCTCAGGACGGGACGGCACTGGAAAAAGGGTGATGGGAATAGTTGAGGCTTGTGGACTTGCAACAAGTTTAATTGCTGACAAAGGTTTCCTCTGGGATGTACCAGATTCTTGGACTTTGGAAGAGGCATCAACAGTACCGATTGTCTATGCCACTGTGAGCAGATATACAGAAATAATGCAGTGATATATTTCTTCATGTTTATTTATTTTATTAATTAATTAATTTTTTTGCAGGCATATTATGCTCTTGTGGTCCGAGGGGGCTTAAGACAAGGAGAGAGCCTCCTGATCCATGCTGGCTCTGGTGGAGTCGGTCAAGCCGCCATTTCGATAGCTTTGCACATGAACTGTGATATCTTCGTAACAGTCGGGACAGCCCAAAAAAAGCAGTTCCTCCTCGATAGATTTCCAAAGTTGAAGAGTAAAAATATTGGCAACTCGAGAGACACCAGTTTCGAGAAGTTAGTCCTTGAAGGGACAAAGGGCTCAGGTGTTAACCTAGTGTTGAATTCATTAGCTGGAGAACAACTGCAAGCTTCAATCAGATGTCTTTCAAAGCATGGGCGATTTTTAGAAATTGGAAAATTCGATTTATCAGAAAACACACCTCTAGGTAAATAATTGTCTTAAAACATGTTGATTCAAGCTGACACATATTTTTAATTCAGGTATGGCGGTATTTTTGAAAAACACGACCGTCCATGGAATTCTTCTTGATTCATTGTTCACTGCAACGGGTAATTGGGAGAAGGAAGAAGTTATGCGGTTGATGAAGGAAGGCATCGCAGTTGGAGTTGTCAAACCCCTACCCTGCACAACTTTTAATCATGATCAACTAGAACAATCTTTTAGGCAAGTATTAATATGTATAAGTATATAATGTATGTAATTCCTCCTAATTTATTCAGTTCTCACTGGTTTTACCAAAAAAGTTGTGCAATAAGCTTCCATTTAGCTTTTTTAAAACAGGTTAAACATGTGGTTCTCAAATATATTTTAATTAGGTTATAAATGGGGGTTTAGTCTAAAACGTAGAGTAACATGAATCTTCAGTTTAGAAAATGCAATTCACTTCAATTGTGATGCTAAAAATTAGGTTATAAATGGGGTTTTAGTCTAAAATGTAATGGAACATGAATGTTCAGTTTAAAAACAGCATTTTAAGTGAATTGTTATGCTAAGACATAGGTTGTAGTCTAAAATGTAATGTAAAAATTGACTTATGTGAGGTTTAACGTTAAATATTAGGTTAAACATTATGGAATCTAAACTGTAACCTAACATGAATCTTCACTTTAAAACGTGCATTTAACGTGTTACGTTAATGTTAAATTAGGTTATAAATGGAGATTTAGGTTAAAACGTAGAGAAACATGAATCTTCAGTTTAAAAACAGCATTTTAAGTGAATTGTTATGCTAAAACATAGGTTGTAGTCTAAAATGTAATGTAAAAATTGACTTGTGAGGTTTAACGTTAAATATTAGGTTAAACATTATGGAATCTAAACTGTAACCTAACATGAATCTTCAGTTTAAAAAATGCAATTCACTTGAATTGTGATGCTACAAATTAGATCATAAATGGGGTTTTAGTCTAAAATGTAGTGTAACATGCATCTTCAGTTTAAAAAGTGAAATTTATATGAGTTGACATGCTATAAATTTGGTTAAACTTGGGGTTCTCAAAATATATTGTAAACTTAAATGTTGAGTTTAAAAAAAAATTCTGTGCATGAGTTTCATGTTAAAAATAAGGTTATATACGAAATTTCAGGTTAAAATGCAGTTGCTAAAACGTGATTGTTACTTAAGGTCTATTCTAGTTGTTAATTTTGCCATGAATTCGTGTGCTTGTACTCCGTAAAAACAAGGATACTTATTTCTTTTTATTTTAATATTTAATAAAAGGATTTAGAAGAGAAGCCCAACATTAGGTTTTACATCTGTTTTAGTTCAAAACCTAAGTTTCTACATGGGGGTTAATGCATTTTACATAACGAATTAACAGATTCACGTTAAAAAGTTGGATTAATAAAAAAATTTAGCCTAAAAGTTTGTTCTACAGTTCAAAACTAGGTAGTTCTTACTAGATTTTTCAAACTAAAAATGAATTTCCTTAACAAACTGGGGCCAAAAGAAAAAATTGAACTTAACCCTAACCTAATAAGTCCCTAACCAAATCCTAACCCTACCTAACAAATCTCTAATCCTCAACACAGCCCAAAAGCATATCCATGTTGAAATTTTACGTGAGTGTTCTGTCCAGAAGGTAACAAAAACATTTACGTCACCAACGCATGTTTAACTTCAGAATAAAATCTTTATAAGTAGTTGATGGTATAATTCAGCTTATTTAAAACATAATCACTTGAGTCTTTATATGATCAAAAATTTTCAGGTACATGGCGACTGGCAAACACATAGGAAAGGTGGTTATAAAAATCAGAGAAGAAGAGTCAAACAAATTAACATTACCCAAATTAATGCTGATTAATGCAATGGGTAAAACGTATATGCATCCAAGAAAATCATACATCCTTGTTGGTAAGTATAAGAGTTTTCTCCCCTAAAGAATTTCTTGCTTATGACAAGTGTTAAGGTGGATTGGGGGGTCTTGGACTGGAATTGGCCAATTGGTTCATCGAAAAAGGAGCTAAGAAGCTCGTGCTCGTTTCAAGATCTGGTGTCATCAATGGCTACCAGTGGCTCTGTATCAGAAGATGGAAGGAAAATGGCATCTGTGTAGTTGTTCTTACACTAGATTGCACAACCCTTCCAGGAGCAAAATTGTTATTAGCCGAAGCAAATAAACTCGGCCCCATTGGAGGAATTTTCAATCTAGCTGCTGTACGTTAATCACATAAATAAAATAAAATTACATATCGTTATTATATATATTGTTTTTATTGAAGGTGTTAAAAGATGCCTATATGACAAATTTAACAGAAGATGATTTTAAAGCTGTCTGTGCAGCAAAAGTAGATGCAACGGAATCACTCGATGTTGCGAGTAGGGATTGCACTCAACTGGATCACTTTGTAGTATTTTCTTCGGTTTCTTGCGGCAGGGGAAATGCAGGGCAAACAAATTACGGCATGGCTAACTCAGCCATGGAAAGGATCTGCGAAAACCGAAAAGCTAAAGGCTTGCCAGGGGTACGCATAATTATCAAAAAATATTAGAGAAAAATGTTCTTATTTGTTAGTTTTGGTTTTTTATTCTTCTTCCTTCATTGTTGTTGTCATTCTTTTTCTTTGTACAAATGAAACAATAATGTAAATTATATATAAAATTTTTTCCACAAATAAATTTCTTGAAAATGGCACAAGTTTCTAAAACATTAAGCAAAAAAAATTTTTAATTTAAATTCTACCTTCAAAAAGGCCTAAAAAATAAAAGAGAAATTTTAGAATCAATCAATCTATACATGTTATTGGCAAAGGGTTTAAGAAATTTGAATTTTATTTGCAGTTGGCTATTCAGTGGGGAGCAGTAGGTGACGTGGGACTTGTAGTGAAGAACTTGAAAGGCAACAATGAAACAGTGGTCGGAGGCACATTACCCCAAAGGATTTCATCCTGTTTCAATGCACTAGATTATTTTCTAAGGCAACCCCATCCAGTCGTAGCATCAATGGTGCTTGCTGAAAAAGGCAAGACGTCTGCAGCCACTCAGGCTAGCCTGGTGGATGTAATCGCCAACATCCTAGGCATGAAAGACACCAAATCTGCAGGCACTTCCACTCTGGCTGATCTCGGGATGGACTCCCTGATGGGCGCAGAGATAAAGCAGACCCTTGAGAGGAACTTTGATTTGATGATGAGTGCCCAAGAAATACGATCCTTGACGTTCCCCCGGCTGCATGAGCTGTCGTCAGATGATGTAAACGTACTTGAAAACAATCACAGCACCAATGAAGTAATGATTAATTGTTTTACTAATAAAACATTAATGAATAATTATTTGGAGATCATGAGATGCAGTCTGGTGTGACGTAGGTTTTAGAAAAACATTTTCTTTATCATGCTGTCTATATAATCCTGAAAGCCAAACCATTATCCATTTTTTCCCATTGTCAGCTCCTTTCCCCTCAAAGAAGCTGACTACTTATATAAAAATGTCTTTCTATCCCGACTTCCTTCCCCACCCCTTCAAAATCCAACATATATAAACATAAAACATCAATATCTCACAGGCACTCTCAACGCGACACACAAGAATGACACATCTGCACAGAAAACAAACACTTTGAGTGAGTACAAATACTTTGATTGAATTTTGTATAAATTCTTTTTTTTTCACATCCTACTTGTATTTGTAAAATTTAAACAATGTTTGTAAATCCCAGGCTCGGAAGATGATCTTAATAAAGATTGAAACGTTGGCACGATAAAGAAAATATTTTTCTAAAACCTACGTCACACCAGACTGCATCTCACGATCTCCGAATAATCATCGACTAACAGTCACTAAACACCACACAGTATTGAATAAACTCATTTTTTTCTTATTTGCAAGGTAAATGGGAAGACTTTACAATTGATGCCAAATGAACCAATTATACAAATGAAAAACTCTTCTAAGAATAATACAAAAAAATTATTTTTTATACATCCAATCGAAGGAAATGTCACAATGTTAGAGGAAATCGCAAAATATGTAGATGCAAATATCTATGGCCTGCAATGCACAAAAGACACACCTCTTGATACTCTAAGCCAACTTGCTTCCTTTTATCTCCAAGTATGTTTATTTCTAAACAACCACATAATCACTATTTTTCACAATTTTGCTTTTCTGCTTAGAAAATTCAAATGTACCAACGACAAGGTCCTTACCTCTTAGTCGGGTACTCATTTGGTGCCGGTGTTGCTTTTGAAATGGCTCTGCAGCTTGAAAAAGAGAATCAGACTGTTAACTTAGTATTAATCGATGGATCTCCTGACTTCACCAGAAATCATATCCATGTATATAAAAAGACAAAAGATCTTGATAAGGACTTTGATGCTTTCAAACTGGCCTACATATCTATGTTGTTTGCTGGAACAGATTTCACCAAGGTAATTTAATGTATTTGTAAATTTAAGCTATATAACTATAACTTTTTTACAGGTGCAGAAAGAATTATTCAACATGCCTAACTGGGAGGAACGTGTTCAATTTTGCTCTAGTATGATGCATTCTACCAAAGCAGAAGTTACAGATGCTGCAGACTCGTTCAGCAAAAAGCTGTCTGCTAGCTTTGAATATAAGCCAAAGATAAAATTCACAGGCTCTATTGAATTGCTTAAAGCCTCGGAAAGCTTCGTCAATCTAGGAGATGATTACAATTTATCTGAAGTAAATTAATTGAATTATCAGCAAGAGAAACTAGTAATAAACTTTAATTTATTTTTCAGCATTGTAAAAACAAAGTCAATGTTACAGAGGTGAAAGGCTCACACCAGTCAATATTACGCGGAGACTCAGCTCAAATTATTGCAAATGTTATCAATAACAATGTAAAGTTGAAGTTGTGATTATTGTAACTAATTATAGAATATATACGTGTGATATTGTAGATTTTAGACTACTTTGTGATGATTAAAAAAATTATTTTACTTAAAAATTTTGTTTCATTATAAGCCCAATATCATTAAAAGAATTTTTCTAAAACCTTAACAGATCTAAAATGTATATACAACACATCTTCTCTCTTAGCAGGCAAGGAAAATTGTAGGCCTTTATGTCAGATACTTCCTCTTAATTACAGCCCAAAGAAGATGGTCAAAGTAGAGACAGAAACATGATGACTCTGTCAAAAGAAACGAGAGACACCAACATCTTTGCAATGAGGAATGTGTTTAATTTTTGAGGAAAAAGCACACATTCCACAGGATGGTCTTAATCAGTTGTTCCACAATACATGGAGGAGCATCCACAGTGATTTAGATTTTCCGATTGGTGATGGTCGACATCTTGATGTGAGAGTCATGAAGCTTCAGCAACCATTCTTCAAAGATGTTGACAAATGAGTTCATGATGCTCATTGCTTTGGAAGCGATGCGGACCTGCTTCTTCATTTTTAAGAAGTATATAGCATGGGATTCCTTCCTCTTCCTTTTCTTCTTCTTGTCAGTCTCTTCAATGTTCTTTTGAGTCTAGCCAGCCTTCTTCTTTGCTTTCCGAGTAGCTTTAGGTGGGGCGATGGCTTACAAACTAAAACTGTCTCTAGGCATTAAAGGCCAGGCGATAAACTCTCTATCAGGCTGGAACAGACTCCAACTATTTTTTATCATAATTGCAATAGAACTATGTGTTCATGAAATACTCAGAAAGAAGATGAAAGGTGCCAAATAGTTATTATATTTGAAAGGCTGGCAGTGTTGTGTACTGGGTTGAAACAATAAAACTTTGATGTGGGAGTCTCGACATGACGGTAATGGGTGAAGTGAGGTAATAACTTGCCTTTTATGACAAAGTGGCTTTACAAAGAGCACAAAAAATGGATACAACCAGGAATGTTATAAGAAAAAACTAACAAAAAGGACTTTCAGGACTTACGGATTTTATGTGCAACTGGACACATATTAAGTATCACCTAGCAAAGATGGGGATAGTAAAACCCAGAGTCTTTTCTGTTAAGAGAAAGCAAAAAAAATAGAGAAAGAAAGAGAATACTGGTATCATGCACAGCTCATGCATATAAAAGACTTTCATCTCAATAAGTTAATCTTTGTAACAATATGTTTCAGCAAGGATTATCCTTTGGGTTAGGATATATTCCCCCAACGGTAGGCTTCGAGGACAGAGCTGGTTGAGACCCAACCCGTAAGGTAGAGGAAGGACCTTTTTGCTCAACTCGATCAATGGCAAAATTTTTTTAAATTTATTTGTTATTGGCAAGGAGATACGTGTTCGTCACTGTTAATTTTTTGAAATAAGTTTTTTTTAAATTTTAATACCCTTATTAATTAAAAGGTTACTGTTTTAACTTCGTAGTCGGGACCCGATTGTAATTTTTTTAATTAAATTGTGAAAGTTATGGTAGTAATATTTGTTCACACTCGTGAGTGACATGAGTTGTTCAATGTGAAGAGGATCCGCACAAAGTTGTGATATCTTTAATTGACAAACACTCTAGAACAAGGTATGGTCCTAAAGAAATTAATATAGGCCCTGATGAATTACCTAAAATAGGTTGAAAGCTTGGTATTAGCAACTAATTTGCTTTCTTCTTCTTCAAGACCATTCCTTGATCCAGAATGTACGTAAGGGAAAAGTGGGCATTACTTCTAATACCGAAAAAAAGAAGAAAGATATCTTTAATCAATAGACCATTTGGTAAAAGCCTCCCTGATAACCTTAATTATATTATATAATTTATATATTTGAACGATTGATTTTTTATGTTTCTAACTTTTTAAAATATTGAGGTGGAGATAATAAAAGACATTATAAAAAGACAAAACTAATTTTTATTTATTTTTCATTTTTTAAATAGGGGTTCACAACAATAGAGGTCATATCAACCTCGGGTTCCAGTAATATTCCATCATTGAATGTTTGAAAGTACTTTGGTTCATAATTCAGGGCTGCTGAAATTTAAACAGGTCAACACTTAACCATTGCAGTCACATATTAGACTGATGTTTATATATTTGAACGATATTCTGGAGAGCTGAACAATTATGAATACATATCATCAGATTTGTTATTTTTTAAAAGACTATTGAGGCTTAATTTCACTTCTTTCTAGTTTCATTAAGAATGAGTGGTTTGACTCATTAGAATCAGTTTGAGCATACATTTCATAAAATTGTCTCAATAAAAGATTGCTCTTAAATCCAAATTTGTGGTAAAGAACCAATGCTGGGTTTGTTGGAGAGACATGCAAAGTGATGTCCCAAGTTTTGCATGACTGTATTAGGTGGTAAAGTATCATTTTGCCAATGCCGCAATTCCTCCATTTAGGCCGTACAAGCAAGTAGTTGATGTAGGCTTCGTTCAAGTGGTTCCCAGGAGCTATGAAACTGAATCCAATCACAATCTTTCGGTATGTGACAACACAGCTAAACTCCGGATATTTCAGCGCTATCGACGTGTCAATTCCATCCCAGAAGTGAAGTTTAGCTAGAGCGTTTATAACAGGTATGTGGTCTTTGTCAACGTAGAGGTAATTAACAGGATACTTTTTAACTTTTGGAAGCTCCAAGTTTGGAAATTTCTCCTTGACTTTTATCCTTAATTCCGCATGGAGTTTGAGCAGGGGTGGCTCAATTTCAAAATCCTGATAAATAACAGGTGCAAGAATCCTATCGGTAAAAGAACAGTTAATATATTCATGTTTATAAGGCAAAGCAGTTGATAAAATTCCTGATTCAGCCTGGCTCGGTATGTTCAATAGAACGTTAATTTTCAAATAGTCCTTTCTCTGTCGGACGACCAGTTTTCGATAGTTCCTACAGATTTTTGACAACTCATCTTTTGGCAAGTCTGGATCAGATGAAAGAAATCTTCTGAACCTTTCGATCAGGGCTGATCTCTTCGAAGCGGACGCTGGAAGTGTCACAGCTTTGTTTCGCTCTTTTATATCCCAGTACGGCACCCTGCACGCCGCATCAAACCTCGTTGACTGATACAAATCTGTTAATATATAAAATTAAATTAGCGTTGATGCTGAGCATTGGTCTGCGAGTCAGTGAACTCATGAGGTATGAGGTGCTCAACTTGGCCACTGAAAATGTCTCAATGATAAAGTGAGAAGTTCAGCAAACCAATGAGTAAAGATGGACCCAATAAGTGACCGAATGCTAATTCAGCATAAAATTAAATTCTTATTCTACTTACCTTTTCGTGTCTTTTTCTTTAAAATATCTTTGCGCAATTGCTTTCTATTGCTATGAGAAGTCTCTTGTTCTTGATTCATTCTAGATTACACACTAGCATGATAGAGGTTTATAGTTTAAATGTAAATCATTTTAACAAAGGTAATTTTAAAATTAATTCAAACCAATTCAAACATCAAAACAAAAATTGAGAACGATATATTTTCAGTTTTTGACTTACAACTTCCGTTTTTTAACGAATTCCAATATTTAAGACAGTAAAATGTATGAAACTTATTATTTTATAAAGATTATAACCTTCTTTATGGTGATACTGATACTGAGCCATACATAAGGTTACTGGAACCTGGCTGATAACTTATTTCAATCCTAAACTCGTCACAATAAGTTTTTGTATACATTTTTAAAATAGAGTGAAAATAATACTGATTCTGTGCAATTTGGGCTCTATTATGTCATGATTATCATAGGTAATATTCTCATAAAAATCGTACTCTTTCTTTAATGGATTTTTTGAATTTTTACCTAGCATTTTTTTTCTTAAAGACCCAGAAACATGGGTGATTAATACGATAAGTTAGTAATACTACTTAATCTATTGATTAGCGTGAATCTTTGTGTTTTGATTTTGTTTGTTTTTTATGTATACAGGGTGTTGCGTCAGGGTCTCCCCACCTTCTGACAAATCCTCCCGGCTACCATAGCTCCATAGAAACCGAGGACGCCAGTTTTTTGGTTCCTTATTCCTTTCGCAAGCTAAACTTCTTTTAAGTCTGGATATCATCAGCTAGATAATCCTCCAAGGTATGTGTTAACACAGTTACCTGAGAAAATTATTCTTGAAGGAAGATTACTTTTAATTATAACGACCAATTTATGGTTTTTTAGATGCCAGCCCAAGATATTGACAACACCATGAGGACAGTCGATGTCCAACTAAGTGACCACTTGACATTTGATTCGATGCTTTTGAACACTCTGGTGCTGAATGGACTTAAAAAGGCTGGATTTAAGAGGCCTTCACCGATCCAAGCATCAGCGGTGCCGCTTGCTCGGATTGGTATCGGTGAGCCTGTTGACTAAATTTAGCCTTAAATAGCCAACAGTATTTTTGATGATGGGTGTTGCTCTGCGAGTTGGTGAACTCACGCTGAACTGTTTTAAACCTGCAGTAGGTCACTTATTGGATTTGTCTTCATTTGTAGCATTGAGTTCATCACTGAAGGTGGGTAATTCAATAAACCTGCAAGTGAAGATGGACCCAATAAATGACCAAGTGCCAGTTCTGCGATAGTATGTTTATTAAGGTGTTGAATGTGACGATGTCTTTGGATTGTCCTCACTTGTATTTCAGTAAGAACAGGCATACCTCAGCGATCAGAAGGTCATACTCTTTTGTTTAATAATTCCAATAATTTCAGCATTGGAATATAAACTATTATGTAATATAGAATTGATAGGGAACAACATAATACAGTTAATAGAGTTAAATTGTGTTTTTGTTTCAGATTTGATCATTCAAGCTAAGTCTGGCACTGGGAAGACACTTGTATTTACAATAGCGATACTTGAATCACTCTGTGAAAGTATAAACAGGCCGCAGTCAATTGTAATTGTGCCGACTCGTGAAATCGCATTGCAGGTTGGCGATGTGATCCGTGAGGTTGGTTGTTGTTTTAAAAAACTGTCAATCGAGACTTTCATCGGAGGTCTGCCAATCGCTTCCGACTTGTCAAAGGTGAAAAGATGCCAGGTTGTCGTAGGGACACCAGGACGGCTAAAGCATCTTGTTGAACTTGGAGCGCTTGATGTGTCGGCGTTGAGATTATTTGTGCTAGATGAAGCTGACATTCTTGTCGAAAAGAACTTTATAAGTGATATCAAGTAATTTTTTATTTTTATTAATTTAGTGTGCCACACAGCATATCTGCACAACTAAGATAAAAATAAGAAAATTTTTTTTAATGTTATCTTGATCATACTTATAAATTTTTTTTTTTTTTTTCAGTTTCATATTTAACAAGTCAGGTAAAGCTAAACAGATATTGGCCTGCAGTGCGACTTTTCCACAGCAAGTTCGAGAATTTACACAAAACTACATGAAAACGGGGATGAATGTAATGCTTGATGGTGATCTTTGCCCAGTGCTAGTCGGAGTAACACATATAATGCTTTGTGTTGACTACCATGTCAATTCACTTGTTAGACAGAGATCAAAACGAAAAAAAGTCATGGATATTCTCAATACAGACACTTATGATCAGGCTATCATATTTTCTAACTTTCAAACACAGTATGGTTTATTACATAAGGTAGCTTTTATAAGTGTATTGTATTTAATTTTGTTTAATATCACAGGGCTGACAGTTTGGCGAAACAATTGCAAAAAAATGATTTACCTGTGGCATGCCTGATTTCCTCATATCCACAGGAGGTGCGAATTGAAATGTTGAGGAAGTTTAGGGCACATGAGGCTAGAATTTTAGTTACAACCGACCTCGCAGCGAGGGGAATCGACATCCCGACTGTCAATCTTGTCATAAACATTGACTGTCCTAATAGCAAAGCTGCTTTTCTTCATCGTATGGGTCGAGCTGGCAGATATGGTGGTTATGGTAAATTTTATTTTAATAAAACTCATAAACAATTGTATGTATTTTGTAACTGTTTTAATTATGTAGGCAAATGCTACACCCTGTATGAAAAGGATGTCACAGAACAAAAACTGAATAGTTTGATGAAAGAAATATTTGACTTAGATAATAGCCAAAACGAAGAAGATAAGATTTCCAAAACAGATGAACTTTACAATACTGATTGTGATCTACTTTGCTCTTCAAATGTATCTTTAGTAGAAAACAGTGAGACCAGCCAGCTAGACAAACATTCAACTTCCGGAGATTCTGAGTACTGTGAATGTAATACATTTGCTGAAAATGACATTAGTGTTGAATGTGAAGACACATCGGGATCTGATGTTGCACTGATACCTGAAAATAAAATAGAGTTGAGTGTCTGTGATAGTGCAAAAGATTTAGAAGAGGAAAATAATTTAGAGAAGAAAAACAAAAATATATTCAAAAAACAATGTTATGATTATCAAATCAAAAAAGAATTAGATTGTACTTCTGAAAGCGATGAGTCAGAATCTACATATAGAGAAGGAGAATTGGAAGTACAAAAAATTAGTGAAACATTTGAAGCCAAATATTTAGATAAAACACCTCAACAATATACAAATGCTAGCGAGGAAGAAATGGAAAACAAAGATTCAGACAAAGAAGACCCGGATAATTTTTTTCAGAGTTTACGGCCTCATGCTGAAGTATTGGAACATATGAGAAACCAGTCAAATCACTGGAAATCAACTGGTTGGTATAAAAGAATGGAAAACGATCTGAAATCTTATATTGAATTATCTCGCCTTTTTGAACGTCCTACTTTTGTTTAATCATGCTTTTTGTTTCTAGTCTTTTTTTACTAGTAGCTGAATTTAATTTTAATTTTGTTTCAAATTGTGTTTTTATTCATTATTCTTTATTACCATTTAAATAATTTGTGACTATATTTCAGGTTAAAATTTTATTTTATAAACACATACTGTAAACACTGGTGGTCTAATATTCACCATCAGCGTAAATGATAAATCATCAGATTTGCTGTAAATATTGTATATTTCCTATTTTAAAATTGTTACAGTTATAATCATTTAATGTAAAACAGAATTGTGATAGATTGTTTTCATTATGTTATTATTTGATAACGCAATATAATATGATAATAAATGTCAGTGCGATGTGTATTAAGCACTATGCAGGGTCATAAATAATTTTTTTAAATATCCACTATCCATACTATGCTTTATATAAACAGCATACTTCCCTCAGCACTCTAACACATTTACCCTTGCCTAAGGATAAAAATTTGTCTTGAACCACTGAACTTTTATGTTTCTAACATTTTTAAAAGACTATTAGGCTTAATATCATTTCTTTCTGATATAATTAAGATTGAGTGGTTTGACTCATTAGAATCAGTTTAGGAATACATTTCTTAAAATTGCATCAATAAATGATCGCTCTTAAGTCCAAATTTTTGGTAAAGAACCAATGCTGGGTTGTTAGAAAGATGTGCACAGTGATGTCCCAAGTTTGCATGACTGTATTAAACGGTGAAGTATCATTTTACCAATGCTGTGATTCCTTCATTTAGGCCGTACAAGCAAGTAGTTGATGCATATTTTGTTCAAGTGGTTCCCCTTGAGCTATGAAGCTGAATCCAATCACAATCTTCTATGTGACAACACAGCTGAACTCTGGATATTTTAGTGCTATCGACGTGTCAACTTCATCCCAGAAGTGAAGTTTTGCTAGTGTTTATAATAGGTATGTGATCATTGTCAACATAGAGATAATTAACAGGATATTTTTTAACTTTTGGAAGCTCCAAGTTTGGAAATTTCTCCTTGACTTTTATCCTTGTATGGAGTTTGAACAGGGGTGGCTCGATTTCAAAATCCTGATAAATAACAGGTGCAAGAATAACAATTAATACATCCATGTTTATAAGGCAAAGCAGTTGATAAAATTCCTGATTCAGCCTGGTTTAGTATGTTCAATAGAACGTTGATTTTCAAATAGTCCTTTCTCTGTCAGATGACCAGTTTTCGATAGTTCCTACACATTTTTGACAACTCATCTTTTGGAAAGTCTGGATCAGATGAAAGAAATCTTCTGAACCTTTCGATCAGGGCTGATCTCTTTGAAGCGGATGCAGGAAGTGTCCCAGCTTTATTTCGCTCTTTTATATCCCAGTACGGAATCCTGCACGCCGCATCAAATCTGTTAATGTATAAAATTAAATTAGTGTTGATGCTGGGCGTTGGTCTGCGAGTCAGTGAACTCATGCGGTATAGGCACTGTGTCCATCTTCGCTCAAGTTGGCCACTGAAAATGTCTCAATGCTAAAGTGAGAAGTTCAACAAACCGATGAGTGAAGATGGACCCAATAAGTGGCCGAATGCTAATTCAGCATAAAATTAAATTCTTATTTATTTTATTTTGTTCTACTTACCTTTTCGTGTATTTTTCTTTAAAATATCTTTGCGCAATTGCTTTCTATTGCTATGATCTTGTATCTCTATCTATGAGAAATATCTTATTCTTGATTCGTTATAGATTACACACTAGCATGATAGAGGTTTATTGTTTAAATATAAATAATTTTAACAAAGGTAATTTTAAAATTAATTCAAACCAATTCAAACATCAAAACAAAAATTGAGAACGATATATTTTCAGTTTTTGACTTACAACTTCCGTTTTTTAACGAATTCCAATATTTAAGACAGTAAAATGCATGAAACTTATTATTTTATAAAGATTATAACCTTCTTTATGGTGATACTGATACTGAGCCATACATAAGGTTACTGGAACCTGGCTGATAACTTATTTCAATCCTAAACTCGTCACAATAAGTTTTTGTATACATTTTTAAAATAGAGTGAAAATAATACTGATTCTGTGCAATTTGGGCTCTATTATGTCATGATAATCATAGGTGTAATAGAATGTTAATTTTCAAATAGTCCTTTCTCTGTTGGTCGACCAGTTTTCGATAGTTACTACAGATATCCGACGAATTTTCTTGGTAAAGGGAACCACAATGTTTTTGACAGTGTTTATAGATAGCCCTTCCTCCAACAAATCAGCGAAGCATTTGAAGACAAAAATTTAGATAAAACACTCAACTCTAGCGAGGTGGATAGACAAGCGAAGATTCAGACAAAGAAGACCCGGATAATTTTTTTTCAGTTTAACATGCTGAATTACTGGAATACATAAGGAACCAATCAAATCACTGGAAATCAACCGGATGATATAAAATAATGGAAAACGATACGAAATCTTACATTTAATAATCGCCTTTTTGAACTTTCTACTTTTGTTTAATCATGCTTTTTGTTTCTGGTCAATTTTTTTGTGTATTAAGTGCAACGCAGGGCCGTAAATAAATTTTTAAAATGCTCACTGCCAACACCATGCTTTATATAAACAGCATACTTCCCACAGCACTCTAACACATTTACCCTTACTTAAAGATAAAAATTTGTCGTTGTAGAAATTGTATAAGCAACTGTTAATCGAGGTTTCACCTTGTTTGTTATTCTACTTCTACCATAAATTGATACATTTGTAGATTAACAATAAGAAAAAAACAACTAATAGACTCGAAATATCCTAAAAACCGTATATTTGATAGATAGGTGAAGTCCAAGTATAGTTGATACAAAAATCTTGTGAGGTCTCAAATCGATTATGGGTAGAATGTGTACGCCTTTGCCAATGATAATGTTATAAAAATAATAGACTCAGTGAATAGTACGGACCTAAAACTAGTGTTGGAAGCTTTCTGCCCAAGACTTGTTGACAGCCTTTGTGCTAAGGATGGTTAGTTCGTGATGAGTCGTGGCACAGATGCAGTTGATGGTCTAGAAAAGCTTCGACTACTTAGCAAAAATGTATTATACAAAATATTAATAATAACTAATATTACCCTAAGCCATGAATCATTTCACCACAAGAATATAAAGATATACAAACAGATCCTCCATAACAATCACTACCCTATACACATAATCAACAAATACAACTCATCACTAACACCATCCACTATTACTAATAACACTACATCATATCTATCAAATACAAACAAAACAACATAATTTCTATGCCATTCATTCACGGCCTATCACATAAATTAAACACATTTCTCTCTTCTGATAACTTTAAAATAGCTTTCAAAAACTATAAAACAATTCACACAATTTTTTCCAAAATTAAAGATCCCACACCAGTAACAAATAAATCTGACGTAGTTTACAAAATAAATTGTTTAAATTGTCCGGCAGCTTACATCGGTATTACATCCCAACATCTGGATGAGAGAGTAAAGCAACATATCTATGATTGCAAAAAACACAAACAAAATCCTACAGCACTGGCAAACCACCATTTTGAACACCAACACAATTTCGACTTCAACAATCCAAAAATATTACACACCGAACAAAACGAAAATAAACGTAAGTTTTTAGACATGGTTCACATCAACAGGAATACCAACAGTATCAATTACAGAATAGACACATGTAAACTCAGTCGCAGCTACGCCAATATCATTAATCAAATTCAATATAGATAACATACAAGATATAGATAGATACATAATCATCACATTCCACACATCAAACATTTCTACATAGTATTATTTTTCAACAATTTAGCTTTCCTTTTCTTAATTATCTCCGTCTATATAATTCTGAAAAGATAATCAGGCCGAACCATTACCAATTTTTTCCTATTGTCGGCTCCTTTCACCTCAAAGAAGCCGGCTCCTCAATAAAAATGTCTTTCTATCCCGACTTCCTTCCCCACCCCTTCAAAATCCAACATATATAGACATAAAATATCAATATCTCACTAGCACTCTCAACACGACACACAAGAATGACACATCTACACAGAAAACAAACACTTTGAGCGAGTACAAATACTTTCAATGAATCTAAAATTTCTAGTATTGTATAAATTCATTTTTTTTTCACATCCTACATACATCTATTTGTAAAATGTAAACAATGTTTATAAATCCCAGGCCCTGATGATGATCTCAATAAGGATCGAAACGTTGGCACAATAAAGAAAATGTTTTTCTAAAACCTACGTCACACCAGACCGCATCTCGCGATCTCAAAATCATCAATAATAACATATAAATAAAAATAAAATACAATTTTTAAGTGACTGGAATGTAAGATTTCTTATTTATCGACGAAATCAGACATAGGGATGAGTATGTTTTCTGCATCTAAGATCACATCTGGGATTGTTAAGGCTTTACTTAAGGAAGGATTCGAGTTTCAGTGAGAAAGCAAGCACCTAGACTTGAGAACTTTTAAGTGACTGGAGATTTTAGAGAGCTTGTGTTTCTTATAACTAAGCATATGATTGTTGAGAGCAATTCATTTTACTCAGCTTTTGTTTTTGATATTGATATTCTAAAGCCATTTGACCAAAGCCAGGCAAAACTTCGATTAACCGCCGATTAAACTTTTTCAAAGGGAAGAGGAGTGTTTTTATCTTAGCTGAAAATGACAAGATAATCTATGTAAAGTATGTTTGAACTGAAAGAAGAGAATATAGTAAAATTTATTTTGCTCCATGCATAGTATTTAATACACGTCCTTATGGTATTTTTTTGGTTTATTAGGAGGTTAAGTCTGGCCAAACCCTATTTCTTTCAGAGTGTCCAGATTTCTCTGATCAAAATCAAAATAATTGTGAATTTTTCATGATTGCGTGTGTTATGAATTGGAATAACCGAATTGTATTGTTTGTTAGTTAAAAGTAAAATATGTTTGCATTGAAAAGAATTCTTTCGATTCTAAATTCTCAAAACATAATCCCAGACTATCTATTTGGTATTCGCAACGTCACTCAATTGTCCAGCAGTGTCACCGCGTGGTAGACATTATTTCCTCCTCCCTTGAGATGGGACAGTACTGTTCTGGGGCCTTTCTTTACGTTCCAACTTCCAACTTCCAAGCTTTTGATCGAGTTTGGCACCCCGGCCTCCTGTTCATGCCCAAGGGCATCTTTCCATCCACCTACTATCTCATACTGAACAGTTACCTCAGTGACCATTCCCTCTCTGCGTATTTTCCTATCCATGCTAGTGTTCGACAGGGTGGCGTTCTGGCCCCTTCACTATACCAGGTGTTCACAGCTGACATGCCATCTCATCCCGAAACCATCACATTCATATTTGCAGACGATACA